AGCTCACCTTTCCCCTCTGAACTCCTTTGGACCTCCTTGTGCTGGGGCCACGTGGGAAGGGGGGACTGCCTAGGTGGAGGCTTGTCCCAGGGCCCCATGGCCTGGAGCAGAAGAAACATGAAATTTAGACTAAAAAATTTAACAGGGGAATATGAAATCTATAAATTGGCTCTGTGAAAAAGGGAAGGCTGAGGCAGGTAAGGAGCCTCTGGTTTATGGCTCTGGGTTGGATGTGCCTGTGTGAATGTATTGAGCTATAAAATGTTATTACCTAGGCTGATGGGTAACAGGGATTCAGAGGGCTAGCAGCTTTCTCTGAAATAGGAGGCAGCCAGTAGACTATGCATTTCAGGCACTCATGGCTTAGTATGCTTCACTGAGGGTCTTCTCGCACATGTAGAGGCTGCAGACCCTCTCTTCAGCTTCAGTACAGGTCCAGAATAGGCAGGAATGGGTTAGCTCTCCCTCTCCCCCATGCCATGTTTCCAATATGCCCCCCCCAGTCCAGCACATTTTAACCTTGCTGTGGGACACCCCATAGTATGTGACAGCAGAGCAGTCTGGCCAATTCAGTCCATGCCTGCTCTGCTGAGATTTACTAAGGAGGACACTATCCCCAGCTGTAGTCATGTGGACAGACCGTCATACATAACCACAGGATTAAGAGCAAAACATAATTTCATAAGAACTGTTCAAGTGCCAGTGGATGAAAAATTCTTTCTTTGATCCATAAACCTTCCTTAAAATGCAGCTACCTCCGGGATGGAGCAAGGCAGCTGCTGAACCATACACAGTAAAGTGGCTCAGCAGCTTAGGACAGGATGTGAAGAGGAAGTTTATATCTGACTAGGAGTGCAGGTGGTATTTAGAAAATTAGAATATGATTTCCCATTGTGGGACCTGGCCAGGACACCTGGGTTCATCCTCTCATTCTCATGAAAAGGGCCATTTTTTTTAACAGGAAAAGACAGTTGGGACCAGGGTTGTACATCTCCCCTGCAGATGGCCCCTTCAGGAGCACAGTCCAGCATCTTATCCCTGCACTGCCTCCTTTCCTTGTTCCAGTGGAGTTTTGTTTCCAGGGAAGAGCTCCCCAGACTGTATCACCCACACCTTTTGTTTTAGCATACATTTGGGGTTTCTTGGCAGTCTTTCAAGGACTGACCATGCTGATAGCTGCTTAACTTGCAAGAACAAAAAAGGAGACTCTAGGCATCTTGCCATGCAGCAGAAACCTAAGGGGCACCCAGAATAGTTGACAAAGCCTTCCCTTGACAGGTTAATAGCTCGTCCTCTGCTGGGCAAACAAGGAGGAGATGATGAATGAGAGGGATTTTTTATTTGATTTCTCCTTGTCAATTGCCTCATCAGTATTCATTCACCAGTAACAACGAGTGTGATTATTTCCTGTAGTCTGTAATCACTGATCATCACAGAGAGTGATTCCTCAGCCCCAGAAATTAGTATTTCACTGTAAAAGACTCTGAAAAGAGAAAAGGGGGACAGATCTGTTCCTAGAATGGCCAAGGGCTGACGTTGCTCAGACTGGTGGAGTCGCATAGAAAGGACAAGTGTGGCGGTCAGTGCTGGGATGCTTCTGACACTACATCTACACGTCACAATTAAGTCATGCAACTGGCGCTCAGATCTGAGCTCAGGTGTGACCGTCTTCAGTGATTCACATGATTGGATCCTCACTGTTTTTCCATTCACCTATAAGTGCCTGGGGAGAGGCCTGTTGTTCTTTCTCAGATGCTCTAGGAGTCTTACCTAGTCAGTTGTGTCAATTGAAAGGGAACCTCTTTGTCCCTTTGTAGAGGGTTGTGAGAAGGCACTCTCAGCACGGTAGAGATTTTGTTGTGTGCACCTCACTGTAAAGTTAGAGGGTTTTCGTGGAGCCCAGGCTCTTAACCCACACCCCATCTGAACAAGACACCCCAGTTCTAGACCCCCTCCAAAACGTAGACGATTTTCTGTGGTGCACAGTAGTGGGATAGGCCCAAAGTGGGGCTGCGAGTCTGGGTAAACTGTGTAGACTCTGAATTCCTTTCAGCTGCCATCCTAGAGGGGTTGCTTGGACCTAACATTTGAGTTGGCTGATGTGACTATTTCCAGGTTTGGGCATGGGTAGAATACAGTGCCTGTGTCTGTATGTCATATGTGCATGTAGACACACTGTCATCTAACTTTACTGATTGTATACCTGCGTAATGTTAATGACACCTTTCTCTCTCTTTCTCTAATTTCCTCTGCCTTTCCCCCAGTGCTGGTACTGGGAGGACTGGTTGTTACATTGTCCTGGATGTGATGCTGGACATGGCGGAGTGTGAGGGGGTCGTGGACATTTACAACTGTGTGAAGACACTGTGCTCACGGAGAATCAACATGATACAGACTGAAGTGAGGAGAGAGAGTGGGGGTGGAAAGATATTGTTCTTCTGCTTTTTAGCCATGGGTCTACTGGGCCTGGCATTCAGTGCAGGCTGTTGGTGTCTCCTCTCCACAGAGGTGCTGTAGGTGCTGTCAGAGAAAAAAATAGGCCTGGTCTTTGATGCACATAAAGGAGATCTGTGCGTTTCTCTCACTGAATTCTCCCAAGACCTGGGTTTGAGTGAGCAGTCATAACAGGGACCACAGACTGCTCCAATTAAAGTCGTTGTCCTAATGCTGATTGTTAATCCTAATTAATTAGAAGCATAGATGTTACATAGCCATTAATAAAGTTTTCATCATGTTAGTATCTGGACCCCAACCCCACACTAGACTCCTTCCCCACCCCCAAGTCCTCTGCTCTTGTGTGTCCCATGACAGGCATGAAGCCTGGCTTGAGGCTTAATGCTGTAGTCTTACCTTGGTCTTGCTGCCATTCCTGCTTTGCTGGCAGTGACAGAGGAAGTGATATTTCCTCCCCAGGTTAAGTCAAAATATTTTTTTTGCAGTTCACAAGACTGCATCTGAAACCTAGGTGATCAGTGATCCTTAGCTTAGCTATGAGTGACACTCTCACATCCAGTCTTACAAGCCTTTCAGCCTCACAGGTCACTGGTTTGTCACTGTAATGTCCATTAATGTTCCCTGGGAAACAAGAATCCCTGTCCTGCTACCGTGGCCCTGCAGTGCCCTCCTGGGAATGGCCTCAGCAAACATGGCAGTGCCTGGAAGCTGTGGAGAGCCATGGGCACCTAGCTTAGTCCTTTAGAGAGGGCTAATGGCAGACCACTTCTTCAAGTATCAGAGCCAGCTCTGGGTAGTAGAGAGAAAGTTTACCCTGTACAAATGTATCTGGCAAAGAAGGAGGGTCCTTGTGGTGTCCAATGCCTGGGAGACCTCTTGGGTACAATGAAAGGGGGAGAATGGACCTTCCTTAGCTCCTGCCAGAGCTAAATCTGCTTTCCTCTCCCACACTGAAGGAGCAATATGTTTTCATCCATGATGCCATCTTGGAAGCCTGTCTGTGTGGCGAGACCAGCATCCCGGTCAGCGAATTCAAGCCAACGTACAAGGAGATGGTCAGGATAGAACCACAGAGCAACTCCTCGCAGCTGCGGGAGGAGTTCCAGGTGAGCTTCAGCAAGGCTTCCAGGACCGGGGGCCATATTCACTCTTGGCAGGCCTCAGAAATCCTCTGAAGCTCTCCTTGGATGACAGATTTCTAACAATTAAACAGACAAAGGCCACAGGGCTTCTCCTGTGCTCCTAACCTCAAATTCCCCTTCCCTTCATTATCCCTACCCCATGCTCACTGCTAGTGTCCACCTGTAGGAAGCCAGGAGCACAGAGGTGGCTGAGTGAGCTGCTACCAGGCTCCCATAAGGGGGCCTTTTCTCACTTTCCTTCCTCAAGGCTCCACCTAATACTTGTTCTGCATGAGAAGGGGAGATCTGCTGAGACCTCAAGGTGCAGGGAGCCTCATAGAGGAGACTCAGCTTTGGAGAGAGATGGGCTGTTGCACCTATTAACATGAGCACCCTGTGCCTCACAGACCCTGAACTCAGTCACACCCCACCTGGACGTGGAGGAGTGCAGCATCGCCCTCCTGCCACGCAACCGGGAGAAGAACCGCAGCATGGACGTCCTGCCTCCGGACCGATGCCTTCCCTTCCTCATCTCTGTGGATGGGGACAGTAACAACTACATCAACGCGGCCTTAACTGATGTGAGTGTACTCTTGGGGAGCTCTCTGGTCTGAGGGAAGATGGGCCAGTGCCCAAGTCTAAGTATAGTTCTTACTTTCTCTGTTGCTTGTGACCCTGGGTCTTATTTTTCCTTGGTTTGCATCCAGTGGCTTCACTTACACTTGTACAAAATAGGCATGGACTCTTGACTAGTTCAGAGTAAGTGGCATTAAAGGCGATAGCATCTCACTGTAGCTAGGTATAGATGATCCTCCCCTTTCCCACCCCTGTTAAAAGGTCACAGACAATTGTGTCCTGAAGTTATGAGACCCCAAATATGGTGACAGAATTATTTAGCAGAACTAAGGCACTGAATCACTAAGTGTCTTCCAGTATGCCAGTGAGTCTTTTGGCATGCAGGGAGCTTTTGCTTAGAGAGGAGTGCAGGTGATGAAGTGACATGACTTGCTCATCATCTGGGCACAGACAGCCCTGCTGGGCTTTGTTTCCTGAAGTCTCCTTCACTCTTGTGCCTTAGCTGTTCAGAACAAAATGTGGGAATAATCCAAATCCCAGCCTTATTTTATACAAGCCCCCAAAGTTCCAGGAAAGAAAGAGAGAGAGCGAGAGTGACAGAGAGAGAAAAAGGTGAGCAATACGCGTGCGCGCGCGTGTGTGTGTGTGTGTATATATATGTGTGTGTGTGTGTGTGTGTGTGTGTGTGTGTGTGTGTGTGTATATATATATATGTATATATGTATATGTATGTGTGTGTATATATATATAGGCTTAGATAATGCACTAGTGGGTGATATATATAGAGAAAAAATATAGGATGGAAGGGAGGAAGTGGGGGTGGGGACGTTAGGCTGACTGTAAGTTGGGTTTTTTACTGGGTTCTCCATGTGGTCACACTTCCTTCTCCTATTGAGCTTTTCATCTGTAGTTCTCAAGAGCCAGGTACAAAGGAAGGACAGCATCTTTATCTTCATTTATATGATGATGACTCTGATGCACAGATGGGTGGTAGGAATGGCAGCAGGTAATGGCCATTGCCTGATTTCCTGTCTTCCAAGCGTGTGACTTGCCCCTGTGTAGACTCCACAGATCTAACTCCCAAGAACTGGCAAATGGGTACAGAACTGGCACTGTCCTTCTGTGTCCCAGTGCCCTCTCAATCCCAATCAGAAAGCATTCAGAAGTTACCTAATGGACCAGTTTTCTTCACAGGCACAGGGAATTGCAAAATGAAGCAGAAAGGGCACAGAAGGCTGGAAGCTCCAAGCGCACTGCCTGTAGAACGAAGGGAAGGGTCATTTATCATTGAAAGTGCTTTGCATTTTTGAAACTAGCCAGGGTATTCTGATGTCCCACATCCTGGCAGCACTGAATCAAAGCCCATCACGTAATGTGTTTGCTCAGAGCAGCATCCCGCACCCCATCCCTTGGATTCATGTAGCACTTCTGATTACATCTGGGTACTGAGGCAGTCCAGCTGAGCTCTGCATTTTTCACCCTATAGGCAATTTATCACATTACGTCTTCATACAGATCTTGTCTCCCTGTTATCTGCTTTCACTCGCAGTACACTCAGTTCATAAACCAGAGGCAGCTGGGGAGAATGGCTCTGTAGCACCAGCCAGCCATTCTAGGAAGGCTTGAGGCTTTGGCTGATACAGAATGTGAGCTTTGTTTTAGGGGTTTTTTTGTATCACTGGAGCTCTGCTAGAGGAACAGCCTGAGTTAGGGAACAGTATTTTCTTTTCAAGCAGCAAAACCTTTCAGGGGGAAAAAAAAAATTCTTGCCAAAAGGAGAAACCCATTTTTCTTTTTCTAAAGGAATCTAATTTTCTTTAAGTTCCAGCGAAAGTTGATCAGTCTGTCTGCAGAGTGGATTTTTAGATAATGCCCATCACCATGGTCCTCTAAGCATGGTGGCATTTTGGAGGCAGTCTGACAAACTCGGGGATCTATTCATCATCTCTCTGCATTGCATGACATTTGTCCCCATGCAAAGTGTATGCCGTGTAGGTACAACATGCTTGTTGTGTTGATCTGGCAAGGGATCGCATAAAGCCGCAGTGAATTGGCTCTAGATACCATTTGCTCTGGATACTTGCAAAAGAGGGGAGCAGCATGGTTTGCAGCCAGGCAAACACTTCCAGCCTTTCCTGGAGTGCTCTTAAGTGGGGGAGGAAGATCACTCTCTGTGGTATCCTCACTGCATCTCTGGTACTTTTAGGGTCCCATTGGCATTCAGTCATCAGTGCAACAATCCTCACCCAGCAGGCCTCTGAGTCAGGGTCGTGCTATTATTATGGCTGTGCAAAATGGCTGTGTTTCGTTTCGGTTTTGGATTCAGTTGTTTCAGAGGACAGTGATTCGTTTTGGTGTTTCGGATCGCTGGTCTGTTTCGATTTACCCGAATCTGTTTTGGAGTTTCAGTGCTGATGGGGAGATTTGGATTGACTGGGGAGAGGTAGGCATAGCTGGGCGGCTGCAGGCTCTCCTGTGGCTCCTCTGGCTGTGCCTGCCTCTGCCCTGGCTGGGGGAGCCGCAGGAAAAGCCTCCATAGCTGCCCTGTCCGGTCCCATCCCCACCCCCGGCCCCAGCCTCCGGGACTTTAAAAGGAGGGCTGTGGGGCTGTGCCAGATAATTGCCGGGGGGGCACCTCCGAAACATTTCCAAAATGGGCCAAAACACCTCCGAAACGAAATGGCTGACAACATTTTGCACAGCCCTAGCTATTATCCACACTGGGAACTGGGGCAGAGGCAGGGTAAGGTGCAGGCAAAGGGACTTAGGTGTAGCAACACCAGTAGGGGGAAGTTGTGTTCCTGTCACTGTGTGTGCATTTATCCAATGACTTCTTACTGTGTGAGCAGTCCCCAGGGCAGGGACCCAAACCCAGGTCTCCCCGCTCCCATCACTGGACTACAGAGTCATGGTCCCTCTTATTCTCTCTAATCACACTTTGCTGCCCAGCAGCCCTGCTTTAATAAGAAAGTTCCCTCAGCTCAGCCCATAGCCTCTCCTGGGAGATGTGGGTTTGAATGCCTACCAGTTCAGAAGGGCATAAAGCAGAGGCCCACATCTGGGTGAATGTGGTATACCCACCTTCATGAATAAAAGCGACCATGGCTGCTGCACTCAGCCCTGCCAGGGTGTGTTAGGTGTGCCCGGAGCATGCCAGCCTGACTGGGCCTATCAGAGGAGAGGTGAAGGGACCCCTTATTCACAGTGAGAGGTTGGGTTTTTTGGGGTGCTCACTTAGCCTTTGGTGCCTAAATTCTGCAGTAATAGTTGTGTTTGGATTTTGGCCTCATGCACCTTTGCCAAGATCACATGACATGATGGCAGAGCAGGGTACGGAGCCCAGGTTTCTCATATGGTACCCTGGCCACTGACCTGCTTTCTTTTCTGCCTGCTGAGGGGGCAGGTCATGCCGACTGGGATGCTGGCTGTTAAAGCCCAAACACCTACTTTTTAGGTTGAAGGATGCAGCTTATGATCAATTAATTTCACCTGGATAAAGAAATAGCTTTCTGCTGCAGCAAAAGTAATATGCAGCAGAGGGATGAATACATGAAAGGCAATGTCTGGTAAGTGGAGGCATTGCCATGATTGAGGCCATAATGTGTTTCATACAGCTGTTGAGGGGCTTGCTGTTAACTGAGTGCTGTACAAAACCAGGGGTATAACACTGACTTTTTTAAGAGGTTGCTATTTTATTTATATTCTGAGAAGGCTTGAGCTGCTCAAGCATGTTAAATAGGAACTAGGTCTTTTGATTCTGTTTATATATGAATGTTATTTGCTCTGTTTGTTGGGATTTCAGTGCAGCCTAACAGCTCTAGACAAGATCAGGGCTCATTGTGTTAGGCACAGTACAGACATCTGGAACAGCCCCTTAGAGACCACCAGCTAAATAAATGATACAGAAAAAGTATGGGTGAAAGGAAATCTCTCTGTTTCACAGCGGGTTTCTGGTGGAACGAGAGATGAAGTGACTTGTCCAGGAGTCTTGTATGCAGCCTGTGGCAGAGCTGAGAGTTCATGTTGAGTCCCAATCCATTGCTTTACCCAGTTACATTCATCATATTGGTATTAGTTGATTCCTGCCTCTCCAAGCACAAGACATCACAACTGATCCCAGCTTATCCTGCAGATACTTAGGATAGCAATTAAGAGATGCATTCACAAATGAAATGTAGGACTAAGGCCAACATGTCATTTCTTTGCAACAGGCTCAGGCTACTTTACTTTGCACACAGACCAGTGGTAGCACTAACCAGCTCCTGTGTCAGTTTATTGCTGGGCAAGACTAGTTGGCAACATACAGAAGTAACTTTGAAGGTTTGGTTTTCCCTTTCCTTTTCCCAGCTATGGGAAAGAAATCCATTATGCACAAAAATTACTTGCCGCTGCACAAGCTGGAGTGACATGCTCTGTTATTGTAAATATGTCTAACAAAAGCACAGGGGTGGGAAGGAGCAGGAGGAATTTGAAGGTGAAAGCTGACAACATGGTCCTTCCTGGGAGTGTGTGGCAGGGTCCCTGGTAAGCAGTAACAAACTGGAGAAGTGGATAATGAATAGATGCCATATCTCACACTTCTGAGTGCTGGTGCATGTCACTGTATCCAGCATGCTGCTTGTCAGGTGAAGAGCTCCTTCAAGGAAGCAGAAAGAGGAGCTTGCATCTTGAGAGATCCTTGCCAGCTTTTGACAAGTGCTGCATTTGAGGGTGCGGGAATTTGTGTTTGTTGCAGGAGCAGCTGCTCAGGAGCTGTCTGAGCCGTGAGAGCTGATGTTGCTGCTTACATGGCCAGATGAGCAATGAGGCCGCTGTCAAGGGCTGGGATAAGGGAGTGCAATGCTAACACACATGCCGGCCTTCTCATGAACATGCTAATGTCATGCCATATGGACCAGGCTCACAGCTGGTGTAAATCAGTAAGCCTCCTCTGAAGCCCACGGTATAATTCTGTTGTCTCCCATGGGATGTTGGATTATATTAATGCAGTCAGGCATTCAAATTGCCCAAACGCTAGAGCTGGTCAAAATAACTCCAGGGAAGCATGCTCTGCTTTGGAATATGCTGATTTGTTGAAATTGCTGTGTTTCTTTTTTGGCAAATTTCTCAGACCTCTGCTTGCTGAGCTTCCCTAGGACTTCTGGGGCTTAGAAGCTGCCAGCTAAGGTGGCTAGTTTAAGTCTTCCAGGGTTCAAGACTCACTCTCACAGAGAACTTCAAGTGTTTCAGGTTTTGTTTCAAACAGGGTCTAAATCCACTTCCTCAGTGAGTTCCCATACACCGTGTCCCCCACTGCTCTTAGGAGAAGAAGACACTCCTTGTTTGCTCCCACTCATGTATGCCACCTGGTAACATGGTGGTGAATGGCTTCAGGGACGTTGCTTTCAGACCTCTATGGGGAAAGCCTCCAAAGCAGCTTCACTGGTGTAGTTTTGGGTTTGAAAAGTGCAAGATGGAGTGGAAGGGTGGGGTGTGTTGGGAGCAACCCTCCCTGAGAAAGCTGGGTTAGTGGGGTGGACATATTCTGTGAGACAGTTAGCCCTTTGCAAGAGCTACAGCAAATGCCTTGTAACTACAGCAGTCAAGTCTCTCCTGTCCCAGGGAACAGGGTGGCGAATCTTGTATTTATGCTAAAATCATGTGGCTGAACCTCAGCCCACCTCACGGGGCATCCCCCAGTTTTAATTCATGAGGACATCGCACCCTCCTCTCAGCTGAGCCACTGAACAGTCTTCGGATGTTCCCGCGCTGTCACTACCAGCCTAGATTTAGATTATGCAGGTGGGATCTACAGTGTAAAAAGCACCATGTTGCATAATATTTGAAACCCACCGGTACCTTGAATGGGAATATATAGCTTGAGTACAACAAGGTGTGCATATGTGTGCCTTAAGTCTATGAGCAGTCTTTACTTTCAGTGGAATAACTTGTAGCATTAGTTAAGTACATGTTGAAACCCACTTTGATCAGGGCCAGAAGTATAAAGTCTTGTTGTTTCTAGTGTTTCTGAACGGCGTTTTACAGTTCCAGCCCAGATGTGTTTCTTGCCTTTTGAATTGTGGAAACCTTTTGAACTGCTGAACTGTTCACATGAATCTTTGGTCACTAGAGAAATGTTATCCAAAATCTCTTCACTTGGGGCAACAGCGCTGAAGAACCGTATTTTTTGTCCCTGATTTGTGGTCCCCACAGCTTGTGGGCTGGGCATAGTTAGGTTAGCATGGATTGTGCTCACAGGGTGCCAAGCTGTACAATTTTCTTTCCTAACAAGCCCCTTGCTCCCTATTCTCTGAACCTATTTTTCATTTTCAAAAGGATGTGCTTTAATAAAGTCGTTTCAGCCCCCAAAATCCATTTTTGAACTTTTGTTCCCTCTCCTACTCCCTTTTGTTTTTTTTAAACTCATCGGTGTCTTAAGAAAGCAGACACTAATCAAGCCAAAATCCCAAGGGAATTGACAGGGAAGATATTTCACAGAAAAATAACTACACGAGGAGGAACCCGGAGGCTCTGAGATGTTCTCTAAGTGCAGAGAGCTTGTCATTTGTGTTCACGAGTGTTGTTTCAAGAGCCCTTTGGTGGGAGAAGAGAACCAATGAACAAAGCTGTAAAACACTCCATTCTGCATTCAGTCTCTCGTCAGGTGCCCCTAAAAGCACTTGCTGCTTGTGAAGCGCTAAGGAGAAGTGCTTTTTTCTTTCCTTTTTTTTTTTTGCTTTACTGAAAAAGTGGGGGAAGGGATTCGTGCTATTTTTTCCCCTCCAAGAAAATGTGTGTAAGCAGTAGAGCCCTGGTGGTGTCTCTTTGCCTTTGGCACGCCTTGCATTTCTGCTCCTTGCAGCCTCCACAGATACTGTAGTGCCGTAGTGGTGATGCTGTAGTGAAGAGTTGAGAGGCACTTTCATTCTGTGTCCCCAATATTCAGCATGTGTAACTTTTAGAGGGAGGAAAAAAACCCAGATCCATCCAGCTGACACTTCTTGTGCTTGTTTTTGGATCAAAGGTGTTTTCTTCTTTCTGCTTAGGTGGGTGGATGTCTGTTTTTGAGAGATCTGAGAATAAGAAGAAAGTGCCCCCCTCCATCCACCTAGGGATATTATGGTGCTGAAAGAGCACTGGGATTTTTTTTTTTTTTTTTT